CCAGGGACAGGGCTAGGTAGCAGAGCCATTCACAGCAACTCCCATGCAGGACCAAGCATGCTCCAGCCCTTCTCCCCCAGCCTTGCTGAGCCTGCACAGGCATCTCAGCCGCTCCTCTGCAGCCCAGGATGGCCTGCAGGTCACCCTGGTGCTCAGAGGAAGAGCCTGCCATGTGCCCAGCAGCTCAGTGCCCCATGGGCTCTTCCCTTTTGACACTTGAGTTGTTTCTCCACCTTGCATCAGATGAATTTAGAAAGCGCTGGCTGGAGCTGCAGAGGGATGTGGGAAAGACCTGACCACATTCCCCTGGGTGTACAGAGTCCGCAAGCAGTGTGAGGGCTGAGAGGAGAGTGTGGGACTGGGCTGGCCACAAAGCCCCCCAGGAGCTCTCTTGGGCATCGCTGTGCTCCTGGTTGTCCACCGACCACCTCAGCTGTGCAAGGGCAGCCACCGGGACAGAGCCAGTCAGGCTGCAAGTCTGCCAGGCAGCCCAGCAAGGAGGCACTGAGGGCAGAGGGCTCACCGTAGTGCACACGAGGAGGATGGGGCCACGTGCTGCAGGCCCAACCAGAGATGCACATGCAAGCTGGCCACTCTCCCGCGTCCAGAGCCCAAGGCAAGTTGCTGCAGCCAGGACCCATCACCCCCACAAAGGCACATTGCTGAGGCCAGCAGCACAGCCTTGGCCCGCTCTGCTCCGAACTACACCTGCAGGACAGCTCTGGATTTGAGCTGAGCCCCATGCAGAGCAAACGCTCATGGGCAAGGTGTCTTCGGAGTGCCCAGAAGGAGCCAAAGCCTCCAGCTGGGAATGGCCCACAGTATTTATTTGCAGCACAGAGCAATCCTCCCCTCCAGAGACAAGTTTCTTTGGCTGGCGTGAGACAAGCACAGCTATCGCAGCATCCAAATGCCCCCAAGCCCTGCATGGCCCCAGCATAGCTCCACCCCAGGTGGGTCCTGCAGCCCCACGCGCGTGCCCTATGTGTGTGTGTGTGGGTGCATGTGTGTGTGTTTGTGTGTGTGTGCACGTGTGGATGAAGGAAACGTGAAAAGGCAACAATAAATAACTGGTGCAGTCTGTACGAGAAGGAATTGCCACCAGCCCCGGCACTGGCGTGACAAGCCAGGGAATAGCCCAAGGCCGGCAGCAGAGGCCTCTCAGTCACTCTTGGCGCCGTGTGAGGTGTCCAAGTTGACTACCTGCAGCTCCGTCAGGCTGCTGCCACTGCTGCTCTGCTGCCCGATGACCGCCATCTAGAGAGAAAAGGGAGGAGGAAGCACTGGGGGACAGCATGCCCTGAGACCACCTGTGCCAGCAGCCAGGGTGGCACTGTCCCTTCTGGGCTCCTGTCCAAGGAGGGTAGGACTTCCTCACCCACAGGTAGGTGGCACTGACAGCTTTCCCACACCTGAGGACTGGCCATACCCGAGGACATGGGTCTGCCCAGACCCACAAAGAATGTGCAGGCAGAGGCAGAGCAAGGATACCCCCTGAACACCTGTGAGTATCACTCTGCTCCTACCTGGTGAAGCTGGACAGCTGAGACTGGGATCTGAACGGTGCCTGATGGGGCTGTCAGGAACACTTGGGGGACGCCACCTGCCACAGAGAGAGCACAAATGATACCATCCCTTAAACAGTGCTCCCCAATAGGTCATTTCTCTGAGCTCTATGGAGCTTTGCTAGGATGAAGGAGTCTGTTTGCGTGCATGATAGCATCCCAGAAGAAAGCCACAGGTGCTAGCTTTCAAAATGGTGGGAGAAGCAGGCATTAGTCCTCAATCCAAGTCATGCCTGCATGTTTTTTCATGCTGCTTTTCCCCCCTCATGCAACTACACATTGTCTCCAGTCTCTTCTAACTCCTCTGCTGGCCTGCCCCATATGCGACCCGTCCCAGCAACCCTTACCCTTTTTCCCCAGCAATCCTTTGCATAGGAGAATAGCAGGATCTAAAAGCATGCATCAAGCATCTCCCTTGCCAGGCCCTTCTACAGCCACTAGGACTGCTCAGAAGCAGCTTTTTTTGAAATCAATATATAGCATAAATACATGTGAGAGAAAAACAAGGGTGTCAGAGCACTTAGGGGAACACCGACCCAGAGAGCTGTCTTACCCTGATCCTGGACCTGGCCGTGGGACACCTGCATCGCTGAGGGTGCCTGTGAGAACGCGTTGAGGACTGCAAGCCCGCCGTCCGCAAGGCCAGATGTGGGTGCGTACATCACCGCATGGGGGCTGGGGTACATCATGTGGCCACCCACAGTGGTTGGCACAGACGACGTCATGATGGTCGCCGGGAGGGTCACTGGCACCAGGACAGATGAGAGTCAGTCACACGAAAGGAATCTGCTACACTCACGCACCTGCCCAGAACCCCTCCCTCCGCTGCGCTGTCCTGAAGCAGGAGGGGCATGAAGATGCCCATCTTGTTCTCCCAAGCTCTTGAGGAGAAGCCCCAGGGAACAGGCAGGAGAGCTCAAACATCTCCTTTCGTAAATATAAGAGGGCAAAAAAGAACAGCAGCCAAATATCCAAGGACCAAATTCAACTTGAGATACAAGCTTTAATAAAAACGTTGAAATGGATTCAGCCTGCATCCAGGCATCTGAACTCAGATTTTTCTGACAAGAGATGTCCTCTGCACATACAGTAAAAATCTCAAGTAGATGTGAGCCAATGCTTATGCTAGGGGCAATGCTGGCTCACTGAGAAACCATATGAGAAATGGCAACCTGTTCCCAGCTCCACGCTGCAAATTAAGAGCAGATGATGTGGCTGGAGAGGCTCCGACATCCCTTGTAAGGTGCCCTATACACAGAAACATCTACCTAGGTATAGCGTAGCACAGGGGATGCCAACAAGGAAATATACACCTGGGAAACTGTCCGAAAGGCTGGGATAGAGTTGGTCTGAAGAAGGATCCTGGGCAGAGAGCAGGCATGTGGTTGTTAGCAGCAGTGATTAGAAACACATAACATGGTTTACCGTAATGTCCCAATTACCTGTTCCGCTGGAAGAGGTCTGGGTAAGGTCAGTGCTGCTGTCGCTAGAGGGAGACGTTTGCTGCGGTGCCTGGTGCACCTGGATCGCCTGGACTGGGACCTGCTGAGCCATGGTACCACCTTGGGAGAGAGAGGAGCCCGTAAGCCTATGCTCAGCAGGGATACAGGCACTCTGGGCCGTGTGAAAAAGCCCCCCGGTCTTTCTCTGGCCACAAACTGCTCTGCAGCATGGCCCTGCACTGTGCTGTGGAAGGCTGGCCAAAAGCAGCAAGTGGCAGAAATCAGGCCCTGTCCCGAACGGCAGGCCAAAACCTGCTCTGTCCTGGCACACAGGGACCAAGGAGGGGTTAGCTGAGCTACAGGGCTCTAGAGAGAAAAGAAAAGGCCACAGCAGCTTTTGTCCAGCTCCCAAACACGGTTCAGGCAAGTTTGGGGCACTCCTCACCCCTCCCGGCTCCACCAAGACACAGCACAGAAGGGCCCAGCACATGCCCCCAGCACTGCCCATGCAAAGATGATCTCACTGCACCAAGTAGAACTGCAAGAGCCCAAATGCCCAGGCCAGCTGGGCCCTGCTGCCTTTACCCTCTGGAGCCCAGCTCCACAGGGCACTTGGGGAACAGTTATCTCGCCCATCCGGTGATCCCAAAGACATCACAGTGCCTTACACTGGGATTAGAGACCACTGGGCCACAAGGCGTACACCCTAGATGTACACTTTGTACATGGGGCATGGCCACGCAGCCTCCAGCCCAGCCCACAGAGACAGAGCTTGGCACAGAAAGCTCCCCTCAGGCTCAGGTCCTGTCGCCAGAGGGAAGAGTGAGGGATGAGAGAGAGCAGGAATCACCAATCACGTCACTCACATGGGGAATTTCTCCATGCACCGCACCACAGAGATATACATCCATTATTCTCTTAGCTCCTGCAGATCACAAAGGAAATCCAGTCCCTTTGCATAGGATTATCCTGTCTGCCAGGGCTCACGGGAGCCATAAGGGCTCCAAGAAAGCATGCAGGCTACAAGACTCATTGACTTGGGCACAAACAGGCAGGACACAAGAAATACTGTCTCAGTGCTAGTCCTCAGATGATGGCTGTCTCCACAAAGGGGAGTTTAGCCCTGCTCTGAACCTCCAGCCAGTAGCACATCCAGCCCCAGTAAAACACCTGGGGAGCCTTGACTCAGCACAGTAAATTCCTACCAAGGACAACGCGCATAAGGCAGCGCACCAGCACTGCTCCCTCCTCTGCACCAGGTCTTTCAGAATCTATCCTCTGCACTGTGGTTCAGTGACTGACTGCAGATCCAAACACAAAAGCAGCTGCTCGGAGCCAAATACCAGCACTCAAAAAACATCCATTGGGCATCTGAGCCCCTGCAGTCTACTTCCATCAGTCCTCCTAGCAGCAGAGTTCAGCCTCAGCACCTCAGCTGTATCAGGACCTGTCTCCTCTGCATTTGCTAGACAGCGGGCAAACCCTGGGGCAGGGGACTGACAACCCACTGCTTCCCTGGGTCTGTATTCCCCAAGCTGCTGCTCCTGCCTATGCCAAGCACTCTCTGCCCTGCCTTCCGACCTCTCCTCTGCAGCCACAGCCAGGGTGCCCTGTGCTCTGCCTCCTGTGCTCCCACCTCAGTTGGGGGTCAGTTCTCTGGCCAGGACCAGGACCCCACAGATGCCTCCATCCCCCCACATCAAGCAAGCGGAGGAGAAGCGAGTGCTGACCTGTCAGCGACACGATCTGCCCTCCAGCTCTGGCAGGAAAGCGGAAGAAGCCTGTCTGTTGTGCCTGCTGCAGCGGCCCAGCCGTACCCGTGACCACCTGGCCCTGCTGGCTGGAAAGAGCCAGGGAGTGCGGCTGTAACTGAGTGAGAGGAATGGTAGGGGTCCCTGGAGAAAGGGAAGCACCTGCCAAAAGGAGGGATAAAGAAAGGCTTTGTCACCATCAGCTCTTTTCACTCCCTCCAGGCTTCTTGGTGCTGCCCCGGGGTCCCAACTCAGCTCCCTGCCACCACGCCCTTCCCAGCAGCAGGGCCAGCTAGCAGCACTCTAAGGAAACAGCCACTACACGACACTTCTCCAGCCACTGGCCCCTGGCGGGGTGATCAATCAAGGAATCCCAGCCAGGTTCACCCTACAGCAGCAACCACTCTGCTTTCTCCTGCCACTAGTCTTCCCTCTTCTGGAGAGGGTAGTAACACACTTTTGTTGGATGTTGCAGTCCTTAGCCCCTAAAAGCACTGACCTGACATGAGGGTGAAGCTGGTGGGTATCGGCATGAGGCCCCCAGATGTCACTGCACTGGCTCCAGTAGTCTTCAGCACTGTCCCGTTGGCACTGGTGACGGCATTGGGGCTGATGCTGGCAGACACTGGCGCCAGGTAATTAGTGATGGGGAATGATGGGCCACTGCTGACCTGCATAGAGGTTGAGGTGGTGGGGGCTGTCTGGATGGTGGACGTTGTCCCCGGCAGGTTGGTGACAGTGAACGCTGGTTTCAGTGCGTCCTGGGGAAGGAGAGATTGTGACAACTAAGACCAGCCCTTGGATCTTGTCAACATCTGACCATAAGATCAAAGCAGGCTCTACTGGTTGCATGCTGGTGCTAAACCATACCCCCATAGCTTGCTGCCAGCACATGGACCACAGCCAGTGTAGCAGAGAGAAGTTGCTTGTACAAACATGAGAAGACTGTGCCCAGTAACGCAGCATGAGGAAAGCTGGAGAGAGCTCAGCGTATACCTTGGATACAAGCCCAGGGCCACACAGGTCCCCTGAGAGACTTCCCTGTGAGACACGAGGGGACAAAGCAACCCTTCCCCTCCCCAGGAGTCCCCAAAGCCTCTAAGAGGAGAAAACCTTTTTCTGGCACAAAATAGGCAAAAGCAGTGCTTGCAGGGACAGACATAAAGGCAAACACACTGTCTCCTGTCAGGAACACACACCACTTCCCTTATGGCAGGAAACACATGGCAAAGAACAAGCTGAGAACTGGCTCTTAAAGGTAGCTGTGCACCAAAAGCAGCAAGGGAGAGATAAGGCCAACCCTGGACACCAGGGATGCCCAAACCCAGCCCTGACAGCTGCTTTGGCAAGCCCTGGGGAATGCTTCCACAAATCTCCTGGAGCAAAGGGAAGAACTTGGCCAAGGGAAGAACCCCATCTGCCATCCCACTAGCAGGAGTGGGATAAAGTGGGATTGCCTCCCACCAGCAGGAGACGGGCAGAAGGCAAATACTTCCAAGCGACTCTGCATGTTAGCTACGGCCAGCACACACCATGGTCCAGCAAGGAGCAAAACTCTATGCCTGAGGACATCAATGCCAGGGAAGCTGAGCACCAGGAGGGAAAAGGCCCTGCACCAGGCCAACACTAGCCTGAGACCAGCCTCCTGGGTCTGGGAACAAGGGAGGAAAGCGTATGCCAGGCTGCAGGGCATGTAACACCTTAGTTTCTGCAGCCACAAAGCAAGTGCCTTGGGCCTGCAGGAACCAAGCCCAGCACAATCGCTGCTGCCCCTGGCAGTCACACTTTACCTAACATACCTCCTTCCCCCAAATCCCCTTTTAGACACCTAGGGTCTCCTGCCTGTCCTGTTTTTGTTGGCCAAGAGCAGACAGCACATACACTGCTCTGCAGGAGACCGCTCTACAGGCCAAAGGGACCTGCTGTCCCCATGCCCTGCCATGGCCATCGGCACACCCGGGAAGAGTTAAGGCTGCCACACTCCCACCCCTCCCGCTGCAGGCTGGTGGGCCAGCTCTCCCACGTGCTAAGCCTTGTTCCCAGCTTGTCAAGCTGCCAGGAACGAGGAATTCACAGCTCAACCAACAGCTAAAAAAGGGAAGGCAGCCCATTTTGGACAGGAGGAGCCAATCCTGGGCACTCAGCCGTGCCCCAGGGCCCGAGGAGGGAGGAGAGTAACACCCCTCAGCCTTGGCACCACAGTCCCTGAAGTCCAAATTAGAAGAAGCACGTGATAACAGAGTGGAACCCAGCATAGCCACTTTCCATTAGCTCAGCCACAAACTCTTGCCATCCCACATGGGACACGGAGACTGCGGGTGCTCTCCCCACGTGGGTGACAGGGCAGAGTTCCCCCCACTAAGCCATGGAAGCCATAGTAGAGCAGGATGGGTCTTGTTCCCAGCTGGAAAATCCAGGCTCCCTCATGCCCAGGCATAGCCCTGAAGCTGTACGCCCCTGAGATACAGCCCCCAGGCAGCCAGGGCAGTCAGCATCCCCCAGCACTCCACACTCCCAGGGCTGGAGGAGGCATCCCAAAAGATTTACAGCACCCTAACTCAGGGGATTCCCAGGACTCCCTAAAAGTACAAGGGCAAACCTCAGTATGATCGGAACAGCAAAGATGCTTGGGAGGGATGCTGTGCCAGCAGGCTTGAACCATTCACACCCCAGCTCTGCCACAGATGAGACTCAGATTCCTCCCATCTTTGTTGTGTTACTCTTAGGCTGCAGCAATACAGCACAGAAAGAGAGCTGAAAGAGACCTTGGGATTGGACATCTGTTGCCTTATCCCCATGACTGTTGTGGATGCCTCAGAGCCCCTGGGTACCTTGGCTCCCTCCAGCACCTGCAAAGCCTAAAGTACATGCACAAGGCCAGCTTTCAATAGGAGCCAAGCCACGGGTCACCTCCAGCAGAGATCAACCAAAGGGCAATGGACAAACTGATGCACCACAGCAGCCCTGAAGGTTATTCCCTTCCCGATCCAGCTGCACATTCAATCCCCACCACAGCTCACTCAAAACTTCAGTTTGCAGAGCAGTACCTGAGGAAATCAACATGCAGCAGAGAGGTGCAGCATAGCGTCAAGAGATGCCTGCACAGACCCACACCTCTGTGCATGCTTGACAAATGCTATACAGTATGCGTGGACCATAAGGCATGGCCAAGGCCAACTGATGCCCACCCTGGACCATAGAAAGATCCTGGGGACAGAAATGATCCCACTCCATGGCTTTCGGGGACTGCCTGAGACAATGCTGCTCAGCATGGCCCAGACCCCACAGCCAGCATTAGTATGCAGATGCTGGAGGACAACTGGCCTAGGAGGCACATGGGAAATCCCAATCTGGTCTCCAACACCCAATCTACATTCCAGATGGGGCAGAAAATCCCTCCCTTCCCCCACCTCAAGAAGAGATGACTAGATCAAGGCTCCTTACACTCTCTTACCCCAATCTATAGTCTTTGAGCTCCCTCAAAAATTGCCTCTCCCACGTAACCACACCCAAGAGATTACATGAGGGTCTTTTGGAGAGCACAAGAGATCAGGCAGGTCAGTGCCCAACAGTATCATTGTGAAGATACAGATACTGATTTAAAAGTACAGCATGCCCCAATCCCAGCTGCAGTCCAAGCTCAGCTGCACGGCAGGGAGCTTGGATGTGGCATAGCAGGAGGATCTCATGGTTGCTGCTGATTGTAGCTCAAATGAAGACCAGTGGGCTGCTGACTGCAGGTAACAAACAGGCTACCTGCGCTGCTCCCTGCCTCTGCTGCAGCAGCTGAACACAAGCAGGTTTTGTCCCTGCAGAGGGCCAAGAAGCAGAGTTCACAGAAAGGCCAGGGAGCAATTGCCCAGTCGTCTCAGAGCATCCTATGTGGCTGGACCTGACTTGATCTCCTGCCACCTCCTCCACTGACGTACCTGTAACCAGCCCTGTGTACCAGCCACCGCTCAGCAAGGATGCTACCCACCTAGCACAGCCCACCCACAGACTTCCTTCATCCTCAGAAGACTTCTTGGTCTACTGGAATTGGGCTGATCTCTGTTAGAGCACAAACCCAGGCTTGCAGCCCTGCACAAGGTGCAGCAGGACTGGGGAAGGTAAGGGTAGGACTGTCCCCAGCCTCAGGGCTTACCATGACAAGAACCCTCAGCAGGCCAGGGGTGGATTTAAGCAGGAGACAGGGCCACAGGGCTCCTCCAGCTCCACAATAAAAGCTGGCCGTAGCCAGAAGGCACCCCACTCTAAGCATTACCACTCTTAAGTAGTGGGATGGAGCTTGCAAGGTTGCATCAGAAAGCGGGCAGAAAGAAGTTGCGTTAAGATCTTTTCTGCATAGTAACTGCACCCCAACAGCACACTTCCTCTGGGGCCCACTCAGCAGTGTTTTCAGGGACAATCTTAAGGGACACAATGCGGACAAGCCCCATGGCAGGAACAGGTCATATACCATGCACAGCACTGCCTGCACCTCCAATTACTCCAGGCATAGGTAATTTGTCTCATTACAAAATGCCCAGAGGACGTGCTTTTCATTCAGGAGAAGCACAAGAGACAAGTCCTTACAAACACAGGCTGCAGAAAGGAGAAACTGCTGGTGACAATGGACTCCTTTGCCTACTGGAAAGGGCTGGCACAGCTCACACTAGGAATTCAGAGCACCCAAGGAAGAAAGTCATGTCAGACTGGGACAGCCAGAACTGTTGTTGGGCTCCCACCAATGGGAAGCCTTCCCAGGGGCTCTTCTGGGCTCCAAGCACAGAGCTCTCCAGGCAGCAACACCTTGGCTCACCACAGCTGCTCTGCCTGCGGGGATCTCTGCAACTGCTGGTATTTCTCAGGGCTCAGCAGTGATAAGCTTTTGCTTGGTGCAGCACTACACACACATGAGGAAGAGGGCATGGAGGAATTGTGGCTACCAGGTACCCAGCAGCATTGTGACTGTTGCACTACCACAGGATGCAAACACACAGCTGAACACCCCTGCAGCCCCAAACACAAGAGGCATGTTGTTGCACTTACTGCCTTTGGGATTACAGCACATAGACTTCAAACACCCTTCTCCATGTTCTGTCTGCTTAATATTTAGTGGCTACTGTGGGTTTGCATACAGTAGCTAGATTAGGATGCTGCTGTGGTTTGTGTACAGTTGGCTAGAGGTCTCCTAGAGTAAGGCCATGGATCATCTGGAAGTATGCTTTTACAGCAAGCCCAGGTCCAACACCCTGAACACAGCTACAGCAGAGCTGCAGCAACTCACAGCACCAAGTGGCACCCCACGCAGGTGCAGGAAGCTGTGGCACAACCCCTAGTTCAGCATGTCACCCCAACCTTGCTCCACAAACTCCCCTGCCTCCCACCTCTTCATGCCTGTGGATCCCAGCACCAGCAGGGATACAGAAAAATGTAATTTATATGAATGATGTAAATTAAAGTTATTGAACAGATGAGACATTAGAAACAAATTCTTTACTATGAGGATGCTGAGGCGCTGGCACAGGTTGCCCAAAGAAGCTGTGGCTGCCCCATCCCTGATGGTGTTCAGGGCCAGGTTGGACAGGGCTTGGAGCAACCTGCTCTAGTGGAAGGTGTCCCTGCCTGTGGCAGAATGTTGGAACTGGATGAGCTTTAAAGTCCCTCCCAACCCAAGCCAGTCTGGGATTCTATATTGGAGCCAGCTTTCTTGCAACAGCTCTGAGAACCAGCACCAGGGATGCAGCGACAAGACAGAGTCCTCCCAGCAGGAAAGGTTCATCGCCCAACTCTGCACCCATGGGCAGCCCTCTGCAGCACCCTGCGTGAGAGGCCACAGGCAAGACAGGCAAGGGCTAGTGCCTGCAGGGACACGAGGCAGTGAGCAGAAACAGTCCATCCAGCCAAGTGTTTCCATTCCCCATGTCCTCCCTGCCCCCTTCCAAAACAGCACCAAAGCAAGAGACAGCTGCAGCTTATAAGGAATGTGAGGGGCCCTGCCAGGGACTCTGGCGAGGGAAACCAGGCCTTATAAGGCCATGGAGGCAGAATCAAATTTTTATCAATGAGTGCAAGAGCATGGAGACGCCCGGGGAGAGATAACAGTGCTGAGAGCTGACCAGGGGGCGGGCCGGGCTGGTGGGGAGCCCTGCTGCAGAGACAGGGGCCAGGACACCTGCCACTCACTTCCCTCCCTCTCCAAATCACCACTATCACCAGACAAGTGAGTCTGCCCAGAGAGACCTCTCAGTGGGCATGAACCCACTGGAGTCACAGCGAAGCAGGACCCGTCCTCAGCTTTCCAAGCTGCTATTCAAGGAGACTGGCATTGATCCTGGCACAGCCCGTGCCCCCCTGGGTGCCCAGGTATGCGGCTGAGCGTTACCTTGGTCTCCCCACTGCTGTCCGACTCGGACACCTGGTAGGTGAGGTCCGTCTCCTCGAAGCCCGTGGCACTCATGCGCTGGTCAGTGGTCGGGTCCGAGCGCGGCGGTGAGTCTGGGGAGTTGAGGCACGTTTGGATCAACGCCTTCCCCGTCTCACTGGTAATCATGGGCTGCAGCTTCCGTGTGGCAAACGTGTACACATGGCCCGTCTCGCTGGCCACCAGCAGCAGGACCTGGGTGCCGGTCAGCGTGGAGAGCTCATAGGCCTGCCAGCAGCACAAGGGAAGAACAGGGAGTCACGGACCCATACAGCACAGGACAAGAGTTCCTAGCACATCCCTGCACTCCCCGCATGGCCCTCCTTTCACCCACATCAGCTCCAGCTCCCTGTCACTCCAGAGGAGCTGTGGCCTCTGAAACTAACTCAAGATTTGTTCTCTACAGGTTGAAGTGCCCCATGGTGTGTTCCCATCTCTTCAGCATGCCCTCAGGTGATGTGCATGCCAAAAGGCCATGGGAAAAGTGGTCCCTTCAAGAGAGCAACTTGAGGTCATGGGGCCACTAGGCTGTTTCCATTCTGGAAATCCCACCAGCTCCTCCAGACATGTCTGGATGCCCTTAAGTATATGAGAGGATGCTACTCAGCCCATGGGGCTCTGCTACCTCTTTACATCACCAACACCCCAGCTGGGCTAGGATCCAGAGTCCCCTCTTCATCTTCACAGTCCTGAGCACAGCTGCACCCAAACACCCCAGCAATGATGCCCTAGGATTGACTGGTAGGCTAGGAAGAACACTCATCATATGCCATCATGGCACGCTCCAGGGTCTCACACAAGATAACACAGCCAGGATGGCCTCATTCTGGATCCTGTGCTACCAGGATGCACCCATTGGTACCCTACAACCATTCCCACTTTCCCAGGGTATGTGAAGCCCAGCTCAGCTGGGATACAGCACTGCTCAGTCATTCAGAAGATGCAGTGAGCACCTAAGGGGAGGCAGATGAGCCAGCAGCACCCAACTGCACACAAAATCCATCAAGTTTCTAATTTGTCTTTGTACATTTTTTTTGCCGCCAGGAACCACGGAGAGCGCTCCAGCCCAATGGAGACACGGCTCTGGCCCTGTCCCTGTCCACAACCGAAGGAGCCAGCAGCCCCGCTGGGCCCCAGGCAGGGCACCTCGGCTGGACCCCCGGACCCGTGCAGCACCCAGCTACGGTTCACAGAGAGGGACTCCGAGGGCCGGAGGCTGCAGTGAACCGGGCCTTCCCCAGGCGCCTTTCCTGCTGCCGGCTGCCCGGGTCCCTGTC